CTACTCTCACTGACACTTGAAGATCTCATGCCAGCCTTGAAACTTCGTACACCTGTGTTAAGCCACATGCAATCTGCCTTCATTGTAGTCATTGTCAAGTTAAGCAGGTAGTACACGTACACAGTCTTAGTAGAAGTATACAAATACAATTTGTAGCTGTTTTATATGAGTGTGATTGAGCCAATATGTCCGTCTTACCCATAAGCATGCCGCATTGAGCTTGTCTTGGTTGACTGTCTTGAGAGTCTTGGCCAAGACCAGGCGTCTTCCCAAGACAAACGACATAGCTTGGCTAACACCGGATGTCTTGGGGTCTTGGGCGTCTTGAGCATGTTATCCAAGACGCTCAAGACGCTCCCCAAGAGCTGGCGGTTTTGCTGATGATCGTTCAGAATAGAATAACTACTGGGATAAGAGCCATTTACCTGTGGTGCACCTTTTCGCAGGTAAAACTCCAGGTACTCATCAGTGCCGTAGTTTGGGGCCGAGATCGTCGGGGCGGATGTGAGCGAGAGGCTCTTATCCTTGCATCTCCTGGGCGCTCTGGCGCACTCAACATCGCATCAATCTCAACAGCCGCCGGTCTGTCACCGCCATCGGGTCGCAATGTGAGAAGTATGGTTTCTTAGACCACCGCTATGATAGTCATCAAGTAGCTTCGCCATGAATGGTGAACTGTCGATACACGTGAGTGGGCTGTCTGGATGATCTATCGATGTCATACAACATACAGATTCTTGCTCAGGAAGATAAATCTCCAGAAATTCACGTGTCCGATTGGCAGTGCACCAAGTGTGATGCCGTCTTCCCGCAGAAGAACATCGCCCGGTTGCATCTCCGCGTCAGACACACTTTCAAGCTCTTCGCCTCTCGTGCTGAGGTATGTGTTGCTGTCCATCGAACGTAACGACACCGCCGAATCGTATGCTCTTCAGACAATCGAGCGTTCCATTATATCTGCGCCTCGCAATGCAGCGTGCGGCGTGTATGAGGTGTGTGCAATTCGTCATGCACTCTTCAAACTGCTCACGAGCACATCGCGAAAGTATACCTCTGATGTTATCGCAGGGAAGGCGTACGCCCTCGGTAGGCTGCAAGAGAATATTGCCGGCAGCAGGTATGTCGGGTACTGTCGTTGACGTCCTCGCCATTATTTGTACCTTGATTTTCATCTGTGTTTCTATTTCTACAGTTACCAGGTACTTGAAGCCCTCATCAATGATAGCGATAGTCCATCTACGTCTCCTACTGTCGAGCATCTTGTCCGTGCTGCACGACACCGCCGTTCAGTGCTACGCGTAGGTCTCTTCGAATATTCTTCAATTATCGCACTGATTGGCTGTCCTAGCTTGCGTCTACACTAGGTGATACTGATCCGGAATTAATGGCTGCGCTGACTCGTGATGAGGAGCACATTATGAGGCTCCTCAAACCTATGTCTGACGCCGACAGAAATGACATTATGCGCTTGCGTGGCTCCTCTGCGGCAGACCTGTTGAACCTTCTCGATCTGGTGAGCTCCGTTCCCTTTGTTCTTGCATATCTACCTCACGCCGACTTAGATTCTGCGTCCTCTACCGCCGACTGCCTCAGATGTCCTTCCATTCAAAGCAGGTCTCTCGGGATACGATGTAGAGCTAGAACGTTCAATGCAGCGTGCATTTGTGCGGCTATGCGAATCATCTCTGCAGCTCCCGCACAGATTGTGGTTGTCGGGTGTATACGTAAGAGATCACCAGCCTGTAGACGGCGGGTCATACGGAGAGATTTACAAGGGCGAGTACGGCGGGAAGTTAGTGGCCTTGAAGTCACTGCGCATCTTTCGGAACCGTGAAGAAGACATGAGAAATAAGAAGGTGCTCCAGAATTCATATAGCTAAAGTGGAACGCTGCTAATCACGCCTCTCGCAGGCGTTTCACAGAGAGATCGCACTCGTTCGGGGCATAGTTCACAGACACGTCTGTCAGATAATAGGCGTCGATCGAGAATCCTTCACGGGCCTTACCTGCGTGGTACTACCCTGGATGAGTTATGGCAACGCCCTACAATATATAGCGAAAGTCGGTTGGTTCGCTCAGGATGCCATTCGGTTGGTCAGTCCCTCCTCCAGAATATACAGCAGACTGTTATTCATGGTCTTTCCAGATCTGTCAAGTGGTGTCAGGGCTGGCATACTTGCATAGGAAGAGCGTCGTCCATGGAGATTTACACGTCGTACGTCAGAACGTCTAGGACGTTGGTAGTAGACTCTAACTGAAGAATTTCTCCTTCAGGGAAATATTCTCGTGGAT